CACCTGCTCAAGCAGAGCGTGGAGGGCGACATTGCGGGGCTGCTCCGGGTCCGTGACGACCTGACTCTGACCCAAGCTGACCTGGAGGCCCAGATCGAGGGCGTGAACGAGGAACTCATCTTCCTTAAGAAGAACCATGAGGAGGTGAGAGCAGCTGAGCACTGCCAGGGAGAGGGTTTTTAAGTGGAAAACATAAACAGCCTCACTAGGAAGCATTTTTATGCTTCCTGGAAGCAGCATAACTGTGTGTGGCACTAAGGGACGTCCAAGCTGTCAGGGATCAAACGCTGAACACTCCTCCATTCCAGGACTGAAGGAGTGAAGGTTTTCTCAAATAATGATTTATGGTTTAGGAGTTGCTACCCCAAAAAGTACACAAATGGGAGCCATGACTTCTACCCTCATTCCACAGATCCAGTCCTGAGGAAATCATCCTTCTATAAGACATTTACCTATGATATAGCATTTATTGCTACAAAATAGTAAACAGTACTTATGAGGTGATTAAGTTGTCTTGCCCTGAGGTGCTATTTAAGGATTACTGCTCTGTGTGTCGATTTTGAGTCTGGTTCCAACACCCAGGAGTGAGAGCTCCCTGCAGCTGGTGCTAACCAAGTCCCCCTTCCCGCAGGACTGCAACCGGCTGCGCAAAGAGGTGAGCGGCTCCGTGAACGTGGCCGTGGATGCTGCTCCTGCCACTGACCTGGCAGCTATTATGGAAAACATGAGAAAGCAGTATGAAGAAATGGCAGAAAAGAACCGCCAGGAAGCCAAAGAACACTTTGAAAAGCAGGTAAGGCCAACTGCTTAAACATCAGCAGCGACCCCGGTCATGCCTGGCTGCAGTTCACAGTCCCTCCGTTCCTCATTCCAGACAGCAGAACTGAACCAGGAAGTTGCCATCAACGTTGAACAGATCCAAGTCCAGAGGAAAGAGATCACGGAACGCAGACAGATCTACCAGAGCCTGGAGCTGGAATTACAGTCCCAGCTGAACATGGTAAATAACAGAGAGCATTGAAATAAGGACTGCTGATAGCAGACAGTTACACGGATAAAAGTTATCAAAAGGTTATTTTAACACAAAACTGTATCCTCCGAATAAAACGTCTCTGTTCTTCCCGTCGGCTGCAGAAACAGACCCTCGAGGCCTCGGTGGCTGAGACAGAAGCACGGTACAGCCACCAGATCTCCCAGATCCAGGCAACCATCGCCAGCCTGGAGGCTCAGCTGAGGCAGCTCCGAGCCGACATGGAGGCTCAGAACAGCGCGTACAGCAACCTGCTGGATGTCAAGACTCGCCTGGAGATGGAGATCGCCACGTACCGCCGGCTGCTGGAGGGAGAGGAGAGCGGGTGAGCACACACGGCCTTGGGTTTCCTGTAAATCTGCCGCTCTCCAGCTGCTTTGGGCTGGGGGGACTCCACTGCCCAATTCCCAGGCGCAGTCACAGCAGGCTGCAGTTCAGGCTGGGTTGCTGAAGCTGCTGTGAATTGTGAGGTGGGCTCTCTCAGCCTGCAGACTGTTCCTCTGTGAGCTGGGTAACCGGGTCGGTGTTCACACACCAGGAGCATCCGTCATTCAGTTTGGGATGGACTTGTCCATGCTGGGCAAGCAGGCAGTGGATCTTCCCCCCAGGTTCTGCCTGTTCAGCTGTTCTGGCTCAGGAACTGGCTCACTGGGCATGAGCTGAAGTCCTGGCAATGTAGAGATGAGTCTGCAGATTAATGGCACCTACAGCTTATGCTCAGCAAGTTTTACTTTACCAGAGAGAATTCATTTTAATGTCTTGATGAAAGGGCATTACCTGTCCTGATCAAATGCATGGGAAATGTACAAGGATGTTTCTTCAGTCCATTAGGTCCCATATATTTATATTTTCTAATTTATCATTTGAACAGGCAATTCGAATTGGAAGCAGCTACAGCAGAGCTTGAAAAAGGTATGTCCCACCAACTTCCTTCTGTTTTGATGGCTGCCTGACGAAATGTTATGGAATGACACAGCCTGATATAAAACAACAGCTTCACAGCAAATAATCAGCCAATAGAATCTCACACCAAGAAAGCAATCAAATATATGAATAGTTACCCTGCAGGGACTATACAAAGCCTGGGTTTATGCATATAATTCAGGTGCCCAATGTAAAACCACAGACTCACCAAATCTGTGATTCTGTGGCTCCTCTCAAAGAGAACAAGAGAGTTACTGAAGTCCCCTCTGGAGAACTGCAGAAGCATCTGCTTCGCCCCACTGACCGCACACGGAGATTGAGGCTCCCAAACAACACATCCAGTTTAATAGCAAAATATTCATTTTGGTGTAAGACTATTCCAAGGTTTTAGGTCTACAAGTTTGTGCTAAACTGAAGCAAAACTATCAGAGGGATAGAGAGTTATTGAACCCACTGTCCACTGAACATCTGACAGAAAAGAAAGCATATCCTGCACACCCCAAAAGTTTACCTCAAGTACCTGTGGATTGAAGATGCTTTTCACTATTTCCTCATTGGCTGCCAGTACTGCAGCAACATGACTCTGTCAGTGCACATTGCATGTAATTAATTCTCTTTTCCATTTCCTTGCAGAATCAAGTAAAATGAAGAAGATCAAGACAATAGTTGAGGAAGTGGTTGATGGCAAGGTCGTCTCCTCTGAGGTCAGAGAGTTCGAAGAGAAGATGTAAATGGCACCAGCAGAGGAGATGCCTCTGAGCTTCCTGGACCTGATGCCAAAACTAAAATATTTATAAAGAATCCCATCTAATTCTCCCTGCACCCCAGCAGGGTTGAAAAATGCCAAATTATCAAAGCTCAAATAATTGTTGTTATTGTGGGGGAGTGTTAATAAAAATCAGTAAGTTACAACTTACAAGACTTTGGGTTTACTTACATGGTGAGTAAGTAGCTTTATTGAAAAAAAATCTAATCAGCCTGGTATAAATGTGTAACTGCTTCCAAGACAGATAAAAACAGAAGTATTAGTTTTTTTAAATGCCTTAAGACATCAATTCAGCACACCTTCTCTGAACACAAACTCCCACTCAAAAGTAAGGCAGCTTCACAAAAAACCTGATTTTCAAATAAACAAGAAGTGTCAATTTGTTTTTCATAATAAATTAATGGGAATAAATAAATTGAAGTAGCCTATTTGATACTTTTCACCCTCTGTGAATGATTATGGCACCAAGGACTACAGCAGGCCAAGATACTTCATGAAGAAGAATCTATTTGAAACAACCCCCACCTCTGTCAAACCTTTCTAGGCCGATAAGGTTCCCTATCCCACAGGGAGGCCCCCGTGCCACACCTGGATCCTCAGTCCCAGGAGTTTACATTTTCCCCTTGAGAACATAAACACAAAAAGCTCTTTCCTTTGAAACCTCACCTGTCCGGTGTCATTTACTGAACACAAACAGCTGCCAAAGAACTAATCCTAATCCTCTGCTCTCCCTGCCCTGAGTCACTGAGACCAGGCTATCAGCTCGTTTCCACGGAAAAGCTTCACTTGCACCTTTGATCTTCCGCTCCTTTCTGCCCCAAAAGCACCCCTGCCCCTGGGTGCAGAGAAATCAAAAATTAACTCATTTCAGTTGACAAATCCAATGATATAATTAAGCCAGGGTAACCATACCAAAATAACTTCAAAAGAAAAAACACACTGGTTTGGGAGGGTTCCCGTGCCCAAACCTGCACCCAGAAGCACTGCATTTGATCTTTAGATTTGTATTATAAAAAGCACAAAATACAGAAATCAGATTTCTTATTTTGAGATAACAGCGAACTATTTACCAGAAACAATGGTCAGTTTTCAGTCCAAAGTACAAACTGGGATATGCTATATGCTACAGACTATATGCAAATCACACTGAGGGAGTTCGATGATAAAAGGGTTAGCACAGAAAACCCAATTCCAAATCCTATTGGGCACAATCCAGTATATATATGTTTTCCTATTAATTATCACCCTGCAGCTCTTTAATGCCCATGTGTCCTCAGACACCTGATGGTCACTTTTCTTGTTTCCTATGAAGCATCCAGGAGCACTAATGCAGCAGAATCTCCTGCCAGAAGAGCATTATAAAAAGAAAGACATTCCTGCCGTGCACTCTGGGAAGCAGGGATCAAAGGGATCACTCTGCTGACTTCAGCAAACTCCTGTAATAACAGCCCCAAACCCAGGAAGCACTGAATATGCAATGACAAAACAATTATTTAGGAGGGATTTGAATGCGAAAAGCACTTTTCGTGCTCCGTTGCACATGGCAGAACAGGATCGTGATGTCTCAGCTCCACTCCACCCATTTCCCCTCATACAAATACCTGGAGGGCACCAGATTTCCACGCCCGTTGGCAATTTCGGTTGGCACATATCATTTCAGTCGGTCAGGACACACTAAGCTGACGTCCCCTGCGAACAGGAGGGAGAGAATGGAAGCTCTCCCCAGGAGGTGGGGACTCCTCCTGAAACACCCACTGCCGTCCCCATATAAAGCTGCCCCTGCTCCCGCTCTGCCCTGCTCCCTGCCGTGCCCTCCGTGGAGCACACCCGGGCCCCTCGGCCACCATGGCCCTTTCCGTGCGCACGAGCGGCGGGTCCCGGCAGTTCTCCTCTCGGAGCGGAATTCCCGGGGGATCTCTGAGGATCTCCAGTTCTAGTGGTGGAGGGGGCTTTGGTGGCAGCGGGCTGGGGTTTGGTGGAGGGTCTGGTGGAGGTTTTGGTGCTGCTTCCCTGTTGGGCTCAGGCTCTGGCTTCGGTGGGGGCTTTGGGAGCAGCTTAAGCAGCGGCTTTGGGGGGGGCTTTGGAGGGGGTTTAGGTGCTAGCTATGCAAGTGGCTTAGGCAGCGCTCTTGGGGGAGGTTTGGGAAGTGGTTTTGGCAGCAGTTCAGGTGCTGTGTTTGGAAGTGGCTTTGGAGGTGGCGCAGGGTCTGGGTTTGGAGGTGGGTATGGCCCTGCTGGTGCTGGGGATGGTGGCCTTCTTTCTGGCTCAAAAAAGGAAACCATGCAGAACCTCAACGACCGTCTGGCTGCGTATCTGGACAAGGTGAGATGTCTGGAGGACGCCAACACCGAGCTGGAGCGCAAAATCCGTGAGTGGTACGAGAAAAGTGGCCCTGGCACTGGCACCCCTGGATCTGGGAACGACTACAGTAAATTCTATCCTCTCATTGAAGACCTTCGAAACAAGGTATGTCAGCCAAAATAAGAAGTTCCTTTCAGAAACCAAGAGCACATTTATCCTGCAGAACCGACCCCTGCAGTGACCTCTGTCACCTTGCACTGTGACACGTGCTGAGTTTTTCCTGTACCTTAAAGCAGTTCTGTAGCTGTGTCACACAGTGTGACTTGTCTAATCTGAAAGAAGAGAAGGCAGTGATGGAATCCAGCTCTACAAACTCTCGTAGATAACGAAGTTTAAAGCTACTACAAAGCTTCTGTGAAGCTTTTGGGCTGTAAAAACATTCTCTGAACACTGTTTGTACTCCAGATCATCAATGCAACCATCGACAACGCGAGGATCATTCTGCAGGTCGATAATGCCAGACTGGCTGCTGATGACTTCAGACTGAAGTAAGGAAATCTTAATACTACAAAAACTCTTACTAATATTTTAAGGAAAATCTTCTTTTCTATTAAAAATCTCTTTCCTTGCAGAATACTTGCAATAAAATTATTAAACAATATTACAGGAATTATACGTATTACGATTTCATATTAAAACCTACAATAAAACACATTAATAGTTTGCATTTGACCTCGTTAGCCACGTAAAAAAATAACATTTAATTCCTCATGCACAGATATGAGAATGAAGTGGCTCTGCGGCAGAGTGTGGAGGCCGACATCAACGGCCTGCGCAGAGTCCTGGACGAGCTGACCCTGACCAGGGCGGACCTGGAGCTGCAGATTGAAAGCCTGAACGAGGAACTGGCTTACCTCAAGAAGAATCATGAGGAGGTATGTTTTTTTCCCATTGGGAATTCATAACAAAGGCAGATGGAATTGTGAAACGTCAAATTATTCCCCTATTTAAGCCAGTGAGGCTTCCTGGGTTTCGTGATTTGTTTTGTTTGCTGTTATTTTTTGAGTTTACCAAGTGAAAGATTGCAAGCAACGTGCACGTGAGATCCTTGTTGAAATGGAATTTATATCACATATATTTCTTTACATATCTTTATGCCTTTTAACAGAACCTTTCCTTGTTTTCAACCTCTCCAGGAGCTTCAGGGCATCCAAAGCAGTGAAATGGGCCAAGTCAGCGTGGAAATGGATGCTGCTCCAGGGACTGACCTGACCAAGCTTCTGAATGACATGAGGGGACAGTACGAAGTCATTGCCGAGCAAAACCGTAAAGAGGCCGAGGCGTGGTTCAATGAAAAAGTAACAACCAGAGGGAGCAAAGCTGGAAAAATGCTTGGAAAAATGAGTTCAGTACTTGGAAGAGTAAAATTACACCCTATTCTTCCTTGTCATTTCAGAGCGGGGAGCTGAAAAGGGAAATCTCCACCCACACCGAGCAGCTCCAGTCGGGAAAGAGCGAGATCACGGATTTGAAACGGACCCTGCAGAGCCTGGAAATAGAGCTGCAGTCTCAGCTGGCCATGGTACGTTCCAGGGGAGCTGCTGACTGCTCAGAGCCAATTCAGCAGCTTCCAATACTATTCCACAGGATTTAAGATTTGCATTTATTTCCTATTAAACCCTACATTCCTTTAGTTCCTAAACAGCAGTAATGTATCTAACTGGATTGCAGTAATGTATCTAACTGGATTGCAGTAATATATCTAACTGGATTGCAGTAATATATCTAACTGGACTGCAAGGAGCACATCACAAAGCAGATCAGCTTTTATGTTCACATTCAGGGGTGTGACAAGGGCCAGTTTTCGCACTGGTGTTTCAAGGAGAAAATAAAACCCTCTAAGCAATGTAGCTGCACTCACACCCTTAAACTATTTCAGTCGGTTTTGCCTTTGTAAAAAGGTGGTTTTTTTCCTTAATCAGAGGTTATTTAATATCCTCACACAGAAAAAATCCCTGGAAGACACTCTAGCAGAGACGGAAGGCAGTTACTGCGCTCAGCTGTCCCAAATGCAGCTGCAGATCGGGAACCTGGAGTCCCAGCTGCTCCAGGTCAGGGCTGACATGGAGCGCCAGAACGCGGAGTACCAGCAGCTCCTGGACATCAAGAGCCGCCTGGAAATGGAGATTGAAACCTACCGGCGCCTGCTGGACGGGGAGTTCGTGTAAGGCACCGACTGACACAAAATATCGCCTCGATTTATTTTCTGTAGCAAAACCCTTTCCAGGTAAAAAGAGGTAAAAATAAAGCGGAGCATTCTCCAAAGGACAGTGAGGCACATACAGCGATCTGAAATACCACTGACTGAGCAGAGAGAGCCATTCTGTTCAGTAGTGAAATAACCTCTCAGTGTCACCCCAGAAAGGGAATTCATCCCAATCCTACTGAACATCCTGCAACCACACGTGTCTCTGATTCACTTCTAGGGGCGCAGGACAGGCAGTTACGTTTGAAAGCTCATCCCTGACGGGGTCCAAATCTCAAACACAATCACTGGATTCTTCTCAGGGTAGGTAGAACTTGGTTGATAAAATTTTGTTTCTAAAGTCATTCTTATCAATAAAATAATACATGTTATCCTACATCATACAGCTCATTAGAACCAGAAGCCAACAGGAAAGGAGAAGGCGGTACCTGGTCGTGTACACCCTGCTCAGCTTTATCATTTCTAACATGTTGATAAATATTTTTTGTTTTGTTTATGTTCAGATCCAACCAAAACTAGAAAGATCAAGACAATTGTTGAAGAAGTGGTAGATGGAAAAGTTGTTGCATCCCACGTTAAGGAAGTTGAAGAGAAGATATGAGGCACAATCTGATGTGGCAAAGGATCCATTCGCTCCAAGCCAAAATGGATAAATAATTTTATTCCTTTGTATGAAGTGATAAAAAGTTGGCTTTGTACTAAGATACTCTTACATCAGACAAAGTCAGCACTTTCATTCCTAGCAGTCATGCAATGTATTTCCTGCTTCACTCTATCAGCATTACCTGTATGATTTCCACAGTGTTCTTTAAATATATCATCAATTCTGTGCTCAATAACCAGAAATACAGAGTGCACATTTAATCAGATCTCCTTTTTTATAATCTTTACCAATCAATAGATAAAATAATTTTGCTGTTCTAACCTCATTTTCCAGTTTTCTTGACTAATAAAAAGGACTCAACAAGCTTTAAGGTATCAGTGTCCCTTCATTCTCCATGAACCCCCTCCAGCACCAACGCTGAGCCCCAGGAGTCTGCAACCACCACAGCACATTGTCTGCATCACAGATAAACAATCCCTGCCCAGTGCAACCACCACAGCACATTGTCTGCACCACAGATAAACAATCCCTGCCCAGTGCAACCACCACAGTATATTATCTGCATCACAGATAAACAATCCCTGCCCAGTGCCTGAACTATAAACTAAAATCCAACAATAGAATATAAACACTGAAAGCAGTGTTGGAATTCAAAATGGAATTCAAAATTCCATAAATCCCAGGAAAGATATGATTGATTACACCTGCCTACCTTTAGCCTTCGGGGATCTCGTGGCCAGGTGCTCCCCTTACACCTGGAAAAAAAAAGAGGGAAAAAGAAAGCTTTAGTTTTTACTGTCCTAATTACAATATCTTGTGTTTGTTTGTTGGATTCCTTATGGTTTCCTTACTGGCCATTATTTTGGGGTTAGAACTACATAGAATGAGGATAATTAAGACACTTGTGGAAAAGAGACTGGACAACAAAACCTTCCCATCTCAGTCCAGGTCAGCTGGAAGACAACCAGCTAAGGAAAATAAAATCCAAACACAGGATCCTTTCACACACACCAGTGGACAGAGCCAAGAACAGGGATGCCTCCTGCACACCAGGAGACTTTTAGTTGGTACAATACTTTGACTTCTAAAAAGACAAGTGCCTTGTAAAAGTTCACTGCCTGTTTTATCATTCACTGATGTATACTCTTATTTAGAGCCTAAAATGCATTCCCTCTGATAAATTTATTTTTTTATTGAAATCTGAAATTTTTTACTGCATATCTGACATGGTGCAATACAGAAAAAACTGAAATAGGTAAGAGGTAAAACTGAAACAGGCAAGAGCCATTCTTAGCAGACAAGATCATCCAGTGCTCCAGTGAGCCAGGAAATGCAGAATCACTTGCAGAAACCACAGCACAGCAGACAACCTGTGCTGGACCTGCCTGGGAGCTGTCTGGAAAGGGGTAAGAACCCCACACATTCTGCATGCTGTGTGTACTGAACACCTCGAGAACAGGCACCGAAGGTACTGAAACACCTTCACAGATGACCCAGACTCGTTTTCTGACAGCAGTGAGGTGTCTGAAGTGTTCATTCACCAGAACTTTGCCCTGTGCAGAAGAGGAGCCAAAGCCCTCACCATATCAGTACTGTTCACCAGCAGTGCTGGTTCCTCTCCCTCCTTGTGTGTTCCAGCAGTGTTGGGTGTGAGGATGTCCAGGAGCTCAGCTCTTTTCCGAAACGGGACAGTCCTCAACACTGGGTCAGGTCACACAGCTGAGGCTTTCCCTCGTTGATTCCCAAATACCTCCAGGGAGGGAAATTCTGTGCCAGTCCCAGCGGTGGTGGAGGAACCTGCCAGCGGCACTGCCAGCAATCCAGCTGTGCTGCTGGGAGGCTCTGCCCTTCCCTGCCCCTGCCAGCGCACCTCATGCTGGGCAGCTGCAATTTTGTCCTTCGCTGTGTGTACCTCTCACCCTCCCATTTCTGAGGTTATAAACCCCCACGGTTACAGCGTAACTAAAACAGAAAGACATCGATATACTCATTTCGGCACATAATTTAGGAATCGCTGTTTCAGCGGCATCCTTTGCTGTATTAAGCTGCAGCCAGGCCGGGCTGGCAGGCTCTGACCCCCCATCGCTCCCCGAAATGGGCCGCTGCCGCTTTAACGGCCCCGCGGCCGCATCCCCGCGCCGCCGGCAGAGCAGCCGGGAGCCGGGGAGGATGGGAGGAGGAGGAGGAGGAGGATGGAGCCGGCCCGGCTCCGCCGAGAGATCAGGGCAAAGTATGAATCGCACATCACCCGAAATCAGATAAAGACCGTCAGCTCAGCAAGGACGCAGGTAATGCCTCCTCACAGCCACACACCTTGCAGAGTACGGAGCCATTCCCTGGCCGTACAGTTCCTCCCGCAGCCTCTGTGAGGTACAGTAATTCCTTTCGATGCAGCAGATTTTCGGGGAAGGGATTTGGATTTTACCGCAGTAAGATGCGAACTAGAAGATTCGGAAGTAGATTTTGTTTCGGGTATGGATTCACACGGAACGAATGCTGTGTAACCCGTCGGGATGCATTTCTGTCCCTGCAGCAGGGCTATTGCTGGGATTTAAGGGATGATGACATAGGCTTTCACACGGTAACCTCTAGCTCCATGTAGTTATCCCAGAGGAAAAGAGAATCCTGAAGAGAATCCATTTATATACAGCAAGCTTTGCCATCTTTAGCACCTCTAGTAAAGAAAACTGCATCTTTGCAGGAACTATTTTATGTTGCTCTCAGTAAAACTATGTTCTGCTCTTCAGCAAATATGTTGTTCTCTCATACAGCCCAACTGAATGTTACCAACACACAGTGCTGCTGTTGGGGATTCAGACACAAACAGCCCTAAACCCAACAGAAACCAAATGGCAAAACAATGCTGGGCCATCAAACACGAAGAAATTCAGGGGAATCAGGTACTGTGTCCCCTCGTAGTCAGGTGTTGCAGGACTCCTGGAGGTTTGTGTTAAGGACAGGCCAGATCTGCTGCAGCCTGGCTGATCCGGCAGCTGCACCCCCGGCAGGGAAGGCAAGTTTATCTTGGTGTTGGCACCAAGCAGGCAGTGCTCACTGGTTTGATCCTGTCACACAAATTCTGCAGTACCCAGGGGAAGCAAAGAGAGTTGGGGGTTCACTTGTGGATGAGCCAAACACAGATTTTTCACCAGAATGATGGCCTGGTGAAATTGCAATATGTCAGTATGGATGGGGGGGAAAAGAACTTATTTTCCTTGGTTCATAGGACCTGAATTAGAGAGTTTCTTTTCTTTGAATTGATGTCATTGTAAGAACCTGCACAAAGCAGTAAAATACGCAAAAGAGCAGGTGCTGTTCAAGGGCTTATGGCATCTTCACCACTTGCAGGGAAACTCAGGGTCAAAAGTGAAAAATAACTTCCATAAGTCAAACAATCATTCTGGAAGTTATGTGCAGGAACATACTATCAAATCAAAGATGAGCCCAAATCTAAAATGACCCCGTACGTGCTTAATACCCTACTTTTGATACAATAAAAGGGAAAAAAACCCAACAAAATAAAAAATACATTAAACCTAAAGCACCCTATTCAAACCTGGAAACTTGAACCACCTGCACTTCCTCTAAGCTCCAGAGGTGAGGAAGGTCTCAGTACAACTGGGTAATTTGTATGGGAATTCCTCTAGGACAAAGATACCAGGGACAGAGAGGTGGGCAACCTCTTCCCATTAAATACAGCAGGATAAGGGCTTCTCCTCTACACAGCACAGAAAACACTAACTCTTCACTTCAGGCTTTCGCACATTTATACAACTCTAACAAAAATTCCAACTAGGTATTTTTATGTCTACCTATTTTCGTTATTTGAATATTTTTAATACTGTTATCTTTTGTATGTCCCCTGTAGGCAGAAGAAGGTGCAAGTAAAAGAATGGACAAAGATGCAGAAGCACTAAAGGCAGCCAGGGCAGAACTGTGCGAGGCCAGACGGCAGTGGCACCACATGCAGGTGGAAATCGAGTCCCTCCACGCCGTGGTAAGAGCCAGAAACAAGACTCGAACTCTCCTGGAAAAAAGAAGTATCATCCTTGGTGTAAATTACCCCACAGTCTGTTTCTGTGGCAGTCACAGCCACCACACAGCAGAAATCCAGCCTGCAGGAGCAGCCAGCTTTGGGGGGCTCCAGCTCCTCCCAGAGCCCTCACCCACTCACACTAACCCAGCTCATGTTCTGGTGCAGGATCTGCCACTCCATACACGTGTGTTGTCCTGTTTTCACACGTGCCAAACATATATTTGCACGATGCTCCCTCACCAAGCTCCTGGTCACTCTGCCTAACCAATCCACAGCAGGTTTATAACTTCCACTGAACGTGTGGACCAAAGTTATCAATTCATTCGTGATAAAATATGTCATAAAATATAGTCAGGAGTTTGATTCTGGCACTACAGAAAAGCTCCAGGAACACACAGACAGTGTTCATGCAGCACTGAGCTGGACATCATTTAACTGTTTAAGTAAAATGGGAGATCTGTAAACTCAAGGCAGTGGATTGCTGTGCAAGAGGGGGCTACAGTTTCATTCTGGTTTAAATTATCACAGATTTTACTCAAAAATTTCTCAGCCAAAGTATTACCTTGAAAGCTTTACTCCTGTTTTTAATGAATCTTAAAAGAACCGATGTAACACTGCACAGTTTGTTAATGAAACCACATATAACATCTTTATGCACATGCTTTTCCAAATCTTAAAATACGACTCAAATTTCACAGGAAAAGGGTTTGGAACGTTCGTTGCGGGCCACAGAGCAGCAGTACCACATGCAGCTACAGAATTTAGAAGGTGAGATTGAATGTTTGGAGAAAGAGCTGCTGGAAGTGAGAAGGGGAATTGAGAAACAGCTTCGAGAGCACGAAATTCTCCTGAACACGAGGATGAAGCTGGAGGAGGAGATAGCGACGTATCGCAGCCTGCTGGAGCAAGAAGAGAGCAGGTACTCACTGCTTAGGGAAAAAGCTCTAAAGTGCATCTTCCA